TGACTGTGCCAACCCCAAGGATTGCTGGGAAATGCCTGCTGGCCGCGTGAATATGACTGTTCAGTTAGTTAATAATTTGTCTGGGGATCCAGGATCATTTCTAGTCAAGACTCTGGTTGAAGAGATCCCTGAAGAACAGTATTATATGATGCGGAGATATGAAAACTCTTTCTCGTACCCCCCACCTCGCCCTCCCAAACATCCCTCCGTGGAGGAAACAAAGTTAAGCCTGCTCAACTTAGCAGAAGAAAAGACAGTGGGTCTGCCCAAGTCTCCCAAGGTAAGGCTATGATTTTGCAGTTTTTCCTCTTGAGTGTTTTTCTGGGGGCAAGTTATTTCAAGTCTCTTCTGAGTCTGGTTTTTGCTTACTTTTCTTGCTTTCATGCCATATTTGAAATGAGCCTTTCTGGTGCACAGTAGATGATTGAACATCAACAGAGCCTAAGCTGTTAACAGCGTTTTGTATTTTGATGCTTAACCAGTAGATGTGACAAGAAGTTTAGGAATTAGAACTAGCAGGGATGATTACAAAGTGCTGTTTCAGTGTGTTTTGGTAATTAGGAATGGCTTATAAGGTGCCTCAGAAGCAAACCTCTTTTATTTTGGAAGTGCTGTTCACTTTTTTCTAGGTGGAGTTGTCTTAATACTTCATCCAGGAAATGAGCGCACAATCAACTCCCTTCTTCTGGGGGCGGGGGTACCAGTAGCATGCATCTATAACACATGTCTTCATTTTGTTTTATGTGTGGAAAGATGTAAAAATATCTTGGCAGAACTGTGTGAGAACATGGGCATCTGCCCACATTCTGCCTGTCTGAGAACTGTCATCTTTAACAGTTCTATTGAAAAACAAAATCAATAAAATTGCAGGCAGTATGAGATCATCGCAGAATCCACAACTCCATAACCACTCTAAAGATGGGAGGGGAGGCATTTCAGCTTCATTTCTGCTTAAAGTTTTTGCCTCTTGAAAACTGCCTGCTGAGTGCCTGGAAAGCACTTGCCCTTACACCACGGAGCTTAAGTCGTTTATCTGGCAGGCAGTGGTTCTCTGGTGTGTGGAAATAGTGCATTCTGCCCTGGCAGATGTTGTGCTAGCAGCTTGGGGAAACAAAGCAATTAGTAAAACAAAGAGAGATGCTGTGTTTACTCTCTATACTCAGGAATGATAGCAGCCTCAGGCTTCAAGGATGTGGGTATGGAAATACATTTAATTCTACATTTCAAAGATTGAATTCTGATTGTATGCTGGGGAAATCCAGTAAACATCTTCAAACTCATCCTCAGGAAAAGATAAAACCAGCAGAAATTTCCTTTCCAGAAAAATCAATTTTGAAGGAGTCATTTTGAAACTAAACTAAACAACTGTTTTCAAATAATGTTGATTAACAGGCTGCTATTAATGTTCAGAGTGCCTGGCTTTTCCTGTTTAATATATTTTTATTACTGAATTGAATGATGTGAGAGATGGAATGCTGTTGTCATTTTTAGTGGGAAGCAGAATAATGTCCCATCCCTCTACCCCCATCCTCTCACACCCACCCAAGGTGTCTATACCTAAGCCTCCAGAACTGTGAATATGCTACATTGGTTAGTAAGAGAGACTTTGCACATGTACTTAAAATTAAGGACCTTGAGATGAGATTATCCTGGATTATTCAGGTAGGTCCAAGTTAATCACAAGAGTCCTTAAAATATCTTTCTCACTTAAGGTCAGGGTCAGAGAAAGATGTGACTCCAGAAGAATTTGAAAGAGATGCAGCATTGCTACCTTTGAAGATGGAGGAAAGGATCATTGAGCCAAGGAATGAAGATGGTCTCTAGTAGCTAGAAAGACAAGGAAGCTTTCTTCCCTAGAGCCTCCAGAAAGGAGCACAGCTCTGCTAACACCTTACTTTTAGTCAATGAGACTCCTGTTGAATTTCTGACTTATAAAACTCCAAGATAATAAATTCGTATTGTTTAAGGCACCAATTTTATGTTACAGCAACAATAAAAAGCTAACATAGGACACAAAATTGGGAGGGAGGAATAAATAAAAACTTTAGATAGAAAAATCTGTATTTAAGTTAGGACTTGTTTTGCTGGCAAAGTGGCTCTTTTTCCCTTTTTCCTTTTAATGAAAGTAGTAGCTCAGGTACCCTTGGAGAACCTCAGGGTATACAGCTAGGCTTCAGGGACAACTGGAAACAGGACCTAGAACACAGACAGAGTGGGTCTTCCTTTTCATCACACATTGGACATTACTTCTGGCAGTTCCTGCATCTTGTAGTTTCATCACTAGAGAAGAACATAATCTCTTTGTTTAGTTCCAATTTTTAAAAAGGGAAGGACTTTGGATCACATGCCCATCTCTTGGTTCAATCAATTCATTGGCTGCCCCAGCTACAGCCAGGATTGGTGGGGAAGGGAATAAGGACTAGTTGTCTCAAATAATAGAAATATGTCTCAAATAACAGTATGTGAAGGTCTGGAGATATAAAAAAGTAGATGCCTATTACAATCAGAAAGGAATAGATCAAAAATCCTAAACTTCTAAGAAACCACTTGTAGAAAACAATAAATTTAATAAATTTAAAATGCCCTTTAAAAGAATGTCAAATGAAAATGATCTACGCATTTTATTAGAGAAACTCACAAAACAGCAACGTTTCATCTAGGTTACTGCTTGGAAAAACCTTCAGTCCTCCTCCTATGTTTCTCCTTTACTCTCACACTACTGCCACACTCACAACACCTCGGACACCAGATGCATGGATATTTTCCCTCAGCAAGCGATTCTTTGACACCAGTATGGTGTCCTGCAATTACTTAACTCAATTCAGATGCTATCTACCTGGAGCTAACATCAGATCCCACAGGTTAAGAGCTCAGTTCCACAGGTTAAGAGCTCAGTCCCACAAGACTGCTCCCCACTTCAGATGCCAGTTGCAAGTAGTAGGTCCTCAGGTTACCGACAGCCTCTGTCTGACTTGGCTGCAAATCAGAGGTCCCCAGGACTCCCTCCTCAGGTTCCATTAATTTGCTAGAGTGGCTCACAGAACTCAGGGAAACACCTACTTACATTTACCAGTTAAAGGATATGATGCAGAATACAGATGAACAGTCAGATAAAGAGACATGAAGGGTGAGGTATGGAAGGGTCCTGAGGACTCAGGAACTTCTGTCCCGTAGAGTTAGGATACACCACCCCCCTGGTGTGTGGATGTGTCCACTAACCTGAAAGTTCTCTGAACCGTGTACTTCTGGGAATTTTGTGGAAGTTGCCCCATGTAAGCATATGATCAGTTATTAACTCCTTTTCCAGTCCTTCTCCCCTCTCTGAAGAATGGGGATTGGGGCTGAAAATTCCAAGCTTCTAATTATGGCTTTGGTGTTTCTGGTGACCAGCCCCGATCCAGGAGCCATCCGGGAGCCCACCCAGAGTCGCCTTGTTAGAACAAAAGACACTCCTATCACCCAGGAAACTCCAGGAGATTTAGGAGCCCTGTGTCAGAAGCTGGGGTCAAAGACCAAATATTAAAAAAGAAGATGTTCCTAGTGCTCTTATCATTTAGGAAGTTACAAGGGCTTCAGGAGCTCGGTGCCAGGAACCAGGGCCAGAGACCAATACATATATTTCCTATTATCTCCAGCTAGTAAAAGAAAACAAATGCAATCTTTGACTAAATTCATACATGTAGGATTCCAGATCAACTTAAAAATTCCTAACTACTTGTTTATTTTTCAGGCCCCGTATGGATTCTTGTGTCTAGTTCTGCGTCCCACTCCTAAAGAATATTGATTACCTGAACTTTGTTAAGATATTAAGAGTTGTTTGTTAAGATGTTAAAAAGTCCAGGAGCCATTTCTTTCTGTAAATGGTTTAGGGAACTGAGTGAGAGTCTAAACTTGAATGACTTGGTACTAGATGATATTAGTTATTTTATACATTTAAAGAGCTATTTTGTGGCAAAGATTGCATTCTTATTTTCCATTACAACACTAGCTGAGAGTGAAAGGGAGGACAATTTTGGAGTAATATGTTGGAACTTATTTCTTATCCCTGAAAAGGGTTCAGCA